GACAGAAACGGGTCACTGTCACCGTCTCTGTTGATGGGTTTGAGAGAGAATCCGAAACGTCAGGCGAATAAAGCTCTTGTTCCAACTATCGCTTCTACTTCTTATCAGCTTTTGCAGAGGAAGATCCTGCTTGACCAATTTAATATACTGTCTAGAGCGGTGCACCCCAAGCGATTGATGGGGGAAACGTGGTGCATGTGGCCGGCATAGACTTGCGGAAGGCCTTCGTTAATGTACCACACCAACGTCTCCTATAGAAGCTCAGCCGCATAATGGTAAGAGGTTGCTTTGAAGTGGATCGAAAACTTCTTGATTGATCGATCTCATATTGTCCGTCTTGGCGACTAGCAATCAGCGGGGCTAGCGGCGTACTTCAGAGCTCCGTTCTTGGTCCTATCCTCTTCCTCATGCATATATACTGATGACTGCATCCGTAAACTGGATTGCCACATTGCCATGTTTCCTGACCACATAAAGCTTTGAAATGTCGACACAAGACTTGAAGATTTCAGCGGGTAAACCGTCCTCTCCGGGTGCCTTAATGTTGCGAAATGCAACATTCTGCAAATTAGCAGATACAACTCTACAGACCGAAGGAAGTACTTTCTAAGTCACACACTGCTACCAGAGGTATAGGTTTAGAAGGATCCAGGTGTGTGGATAACATCCTCATTAAAGCCATTATTCCACCGCTTGAAAGTAGCGAAATACGCAGTGTCCAGCATTTTCATAGTTCGACGAAGAGTGTTTTGGCAACGTATTCGGAATATCTTTACAGACACAGTTGGAGACCCTGGTCTGTCAAAGACCGTGCCACATTCGAAAAAGTCCAACGATTGGCGACCAAATGTGTCAGAGATCAAAAACCTAATTTACGAAACTCTACTCTCCAATCTTGACCTAATTCCCCTGGACTACCACCAAGTACGTGGCGACTAAATTCGAATGTTTCGCATGCTGCGGGGTCGGGATTGTTGCCACGCATCCAGCGACTTCTTTGAGTCGGCCGCAACTACTAGCTTGAGAGGCAACCCTCTCAAACTAAGTGGACGCAAGTTATTTCTTCTTCGGCCACAGGGTGATTAAGACATGGAAAGCTCGGTCTTTGGGTGTCGTCATGTCCTCAGCGTGGACTCATTTAGTATAGTATAGTATAGTAGCATAGTAATTTATTTAATGCCAGTTTACAGGCATTGTCAAGGGAAGCGATTAAACACAAATCCGACCAGCAGTGAAAAAAAACTCCTGAATTAGAGGAAAATAAATACACAGTTGACGGTGGTTTCATGGTTTTGAAGGTTAAGGAGAAAAAAACTACTGGCGGTGGAGTTTCGACCGTCAAGAAGGGGGGGAGGGAGGTCGCACGGTATCGGAGATAATCAGACGTAAATTCCTTTCATAAAGTTGGCGATAGTCAAAGTAGAGGCGTTGAGCAACAGCTGGCGAGACCGGCCATAGTGTTCAGAGACCACTAACGCCATCGCTACAGTAGAGTCGACCAGTGGATTCAGCACCCAAAATTTGTGGGAGCTTATCTGAATGCAAAAATCGAGCAATAGTTCTCATAAA